AGAATTCCTGTCAAATCCAGCTCTACGCCGCAACCAGAATGATTTTCCTAAACCACCCATCAAGTCATTTGCCATGTTTCAAGGCCCTTGCGAGGCTTTCCCACAATCTTAAGATAAAGCCAACAGGGATCCCTGGGTGGCGCAGCAGTTTGGCGCCTGCCTTTGGCCCAGGGCGCGATCCTGGAGACCCAGGATTGAATCCCACGTCGGGCTCCCGGTGCATGGAGCCTGCTTCTCCCTCTGCCTATGTCTCTGCGCCTCTCTCTCTCTCTCTCTCTCTCTCTCTCTCTCTCTCTCTTTCTCTCTGTGACTATCATAAATAAATAAAAATTTAAAAAAAAAAGATAAAGCCAACAGTCCTTCCTATGACTTAGAAGGCACTGTGTGACCTAGTGTTGGCCAGGCCAGCCCCTGCCCTACCCAGACATTGGCCAGATGGAACTCACTAGACCCTTGGATGTATACTCGCCTTTGTCCGGAACACGCTTCTCAACTCCTCCTCCCCAGCAGCCCACACTTCAAGTCTCACCTAGGATCATGGCCCCCTCCCCTCATCTACAAGGCAGCCCTGCACTCCTCCTCTGGGTCCCCAAGTCCTGGTTCAGCGGCCCCTCCAGAATTTCTGTATAGAAGAGCCTTAGATTCAGGCATCTGCCTGAGTGGCTTCCGGGGGCCTAGTGGTAATATAGGGGAGCAAATTTTGCCACCCCGTAATAGGAGGCCTTCGGGGCATATTGATTACATTAAACTGGTTATTTTTTAAGAAACTGCAAACACAAGAGAAAAGAGAAGTTCTAAAAACTGATAGAAGTTACCATTTCATAAGAGGCATTTAATTTAATGTGTAAAAGGGAAGCTCCATGTGTAAGAGTGTCTCCCTCCCTGTACCAGGAATAGGGGAGTGACTCTAAATCTCTAGAAACTCTATAAGTGGAGAAAGCATGGACTTAAACCTGCATAACAATCTGACCCTTGTCGCCTGTGCTTTTCCTGGTCACCTCCCATAACTGACTGCCCCTACCCCAGCCCCTTCTTTTGTGTTTAGCTGGGCATGGCACTTAAGGTGATGACTTCAGCCACTTCGGGAGTTATTCCGTTTCCCAGAGTCTCCCCCATGTATACAGAAGGTAGACACACATGCTCTTAAACTTTGCTTGATTTTCTCTCATTAATCTGTCTCATGTCAGTTTGATTTAGACCAGCTAGAAGAATCTTGAACGGTAGAGAAAAGTTCTTCCTCCCCAGCAGTGCTCAAGGGCGCTCCTCTGCTCCTGCCCTCTCCTTCCCAAGAATGGCCACAGCGACCTGTTTTTACATCGTAGACCACCCGATGCCTGGTACAGCCTGGCACACAGTGGCGCTCACTAAATATCATCCACTCCTTGCTCTGCATTCTTCCATTTGCTCTCCGGCTGGGTGACCTCTCTCTCCAATCTCCTTCCCTGTCTGAGTCTCCTTGGCTAATCAGAACCTCGGTTTCATCTGCAAACTCTGAAGTTCTGGACAATATAAAGGCGGATGATGATAGACCTTAGGAATACATGCTGTGATAAACTGCAGAGGCTTTTTAAAAGTGTGTTATAGAGTAGCACGTACAGTCCAAAACGTGCATCTAGAAAGTAGCCATCATCTACTGGACTTAGTTGGAACTGGGCTCTGATGAGCTAAGCACGTTACTATGTGTATCGCCTCGTTATTCCTTACAACCCTGCCGGCTGGGCACTGCCAGCGTCTCCCATAAGGAAGAAGAAACCAAGGTCCAGAGAGGTCCCGTAGCTAGTGAGGAGCAGAACTGGACTTGACCCCTGCTTTGCCGAGTCCAAAGGCCATGCCTGCTCTTCACCGCCAGACCAGTTGGTACCTCTGTGCAAATTGGGAATAATAATAGCTCCCAGCTCATAGGGTTGTTGGAGGATTAAATGAGCTAAGAGGTGCAAAGCCCTCAGAGCGGCTCCTGGCAGAGCCTAAGGGCTCAGCCCGCAAGCACCGTCACCCACAGTAGCACTGGACTGCGTCAGGCCAGCCCTGCAAGACCGTACTCAAAAAAAAAGTGAACAGTGGTGTCTCTGGTCCTGAGGTCATGGGTGATCACATTCTTTTTTCTTTTTCTGTAATAAGCAGGCATTATTTTATGTTTCTTTCTTTTGAAATTCTTGCATGAACGATGCCCTCAGTGAGCTGTCACTCTCCTCAAAGCAGGCCCGTAAGATGTCCGAGTCATCTCCCCGAGGCCTGGCACAGGGAGACAGACCCCCGGGAAAGGATCACAGCACAGAACAGCTCACAGGAGCCCTCCCAGCCCAGGCTCTCCAGCCACACACTTGACAGGAGCCGGAGTTGGGGGCGTGGGGTGCGGATCAGTGCCAGCAACTGACCCAAGCTAAGCCTGCTCTTTGTTGGCATTCCCCAAAAGGCACAATGAGATGCCCCGCGGCTCTTCCGGGCCCCCGGGGGAGAGGTGGGAGCAGCCGTGATGCGTGAGACCTCCGGCCCTGAATCCACCAACAGCTGTGACCACTTCAGCTATTTTAAACCCTTGGGCACCGGGAGGCTCCCCTCACACCAACCAGCCACTGCAGCCCAACACCCATCGCAGGCCCTGAGCCAGGGGCAGGAACCCCGAAACTGGGTCCACCGGGTCCAAGTTGGGTTTTTTTACGGAGAGGGACTTTCATCTCTTGAGTGCTTGCTTGTGCCAGGCACTGTGTTTTCCACACATGGTCTCATTTAACACCATCCTCACATCTATGCTGAGAGGTCAGTTGTTCACAGATGACAAAAATGAGGCACCAAGTGGCAGGGCGAATTGTCCAGGGCCCCACAGAGGCAGTCCCCACCAAGGAACTAGAATTTGTGTTTCTTCACCTACCAATTAAGAGACAACGTTCCCAGGGCACCTGAAAAGCATCTGCCTTCAGCTCAGGTTGTGATCCCAGGGTCCCGGGATCGAGTCCCGCATCGGGCTCCCCGCAGGGAGCCTGCTTCTCCCTCCACCTGTGTCTCTGCCTCTCTTGTGTGTCTCTCATGAATGAATGAATAACATCTTAAAAAAAAAAAAAAAGACCACGTTCCTTCTCTGCTCTTACCTGCTCTGCCCCTGCCCCAGCCCCCTTGCCCCCAGGGCCATGCGAGCTCCTACCCCGGCCCTGCCACTCTTGGGAGCTGGGAGTCTGAGGGCAAATTCCTTAACCTTTGGGCAGCTCACTTCTTCATCTGCAAAGCGGCGGGGTTATCGGGAGGGTACAATGATCTAATTCTAATACATGAAAAGTGCCGCTGGAACAGTGCCTGGCACACAGAAAGAACGCATTAAGGGCCCGCTGTTACTCCTTCTCTCCTGGCAATCACCACCGCTTGCTTGACGTTATCACTGTTGTGACCTGCCAGGGCCTCGGTAGGGGTTCTGTGTCCCTTCCCAACCCCCCCCACTCTGGGCCCTCGTTGCCCCGTGGGTGAGATGAGGGTGTCATGCTCTGTGATCCCCGGGAAGGTGGGAACCCTGGCATCTGCCAAGTATCTGCCATGAAGTAGGGACTCAAATGTAATTCCAGGAGAGGGATGCCCAGACAAGAGCCCACCTGGGGGGGACCCTCAGAGTCAGCTCCAGGGTGCACACGTTTTTGCCTCTTTGGCAGGTAACTATGCTCGAGCTGCCTCCTGATGGATGGTGCACTCACTTGGCACTGCCAGGAGCCCTTCAAAATTTACCAGCGTCTCCCTGGGTCTGTGAGCCTTTGTGGGCGGGTGCCCCGCCCCCAGCCCAACTCAGACCTTCCCCTTTGTCTGCCCACATTCCTCCAAGATCCTGGCACCCACCAGCAGCTGGGCTCATCACCACCTCCTAATTTGGGCCTCCTCAAAAAGGCCACTGGGGTCAGAGGCTAGGTGTGTCTCAGCCCCGGGGAACTTGTGAGCCTCCACCCTGCACTGCCTCCCAGGGCTCCCATTCCCCCAGCAAGCTTACCCCCTTCTGAAACATGCACCCCCCTCCAGGCTGCCCCCACCCCGTCCTTCTTGTAACCTGTCCCCTTACCCATCCCAGTCCACCGTCCACCTCCCGGCTCCTGTCCCCTCTACAGAGGACCACTTACTCACACCTGGTTGAATTATCTGACTAGGCCCTGGCTTAGCTTCAGGGCTGGAAGGGTCTGAGACAGGGGTGGGGACCGAACCCACTGGATGTCACCTTGTACCCCCCAAAACACAAACCGGCCCCTGCAGTGGCACCCTCCTTTACCCAGTGGCCCAGGCCAGAACCGGATTCCTCACTGTCCGTCCCCAGAACATCCATATTCAGTCCACAAACGCTGCTCCCATCAATGCCCTCCTCGCCAGTGGCCTCCAGCCCCCCGGCCCCAGGGGCTCCTCCATCTTCCACAGCCAGGATGGCCCTTCTCACCCCCACACCTGACCACTCCTGGTGGAAGAAGCGCCCCACCCCGCGAGGCCCTGGCTGGGCATTCTGACCCTGGAGGCTGCTGGGTGCCCCTGCCAACCCCTCCCTCCCCAGTCCTCACCCTAACCCTGGTGGTTGGGGGTGCAGGGGACCTCAGCCTGTATCTGGCTTCCTGGCCACGCCCTCTGCTCCCGTGCCCTTACTTTGCAAACGCCCCGTTAGGGAAGGCTCAGGTCGGGACCCCAGGCTGGGCGCCCACCCCCCTGGGCTCCCATCGCTTCCCGTCCTCGCCCCACCGCCGCTGCACGATCTGCCCTGAAAAGCTGGGGGCGCCCGGAGGGGACAGTGGCCCTGCGTCCTGGGCCCGGTGGCCGGGAGCCCACTGCAAGGGAGCGGAGGGAGCGAAGCAACCGAGGGAGGGAGGAAATTGGCAACCGCTGACCTCACCCGGGTCGCGGGCGGGGCGGGGGGCGCGGGCGGGGAGCGTGGGGGCGTGGCCACGCTTGACGGACGGGCCCGCGGCCCACTGCGCGAGGAGGCCGCCCGCCCGCCCCGCCCCCCGGCCCTAGATAAGGCGGAGCGCGGGGCCGCCGCCGCGGGAGTGGGTGCACCTGTGCGGCAGGTGCTCCGGCAGGTGCCCCGGCGGGACCCGACCCCGACCCCGACCCCGACCAGCGAGGCCCGGCTCTGCGCTGCGGGAAGATGCTGCGCGAGAGGACCGTGCGGCTGCAGTACGGGAGCCGCGTCGAGGCGGTGTACGTGCTGGGTACCTACCTCTGGACGGATGTGTACAGGTGAGCGGGGGCCCGCCGCGGCCCGACACCCCCCTCTCGGCCCCAGAAACCCCGAGGCCCTCCTCGGGGCTGGGGACGCGACCGCCTTCCTCCAGCGCCAGCTGCTCCTCATCCCGAGGCCCCTGCACCCAGAAATCCTAAGACACCCAGAAACCTGGCCGCCCCCACACTGGCAGCCTCCCCGAAATCCTGAGACCCTGACACAGACCCAGCTCCGTCGTCTCTCCTTTCCCAGAGCCCCTCCCCTGGACCCCAGTCTTCCGTGGGCTGACCCGCCCCAGGCCCTCTCCCAGGACACCCCAGGGGACCCCTGCTCTTCCCCCTTCCTCTCCCCTCCACCCTCCCCCTCCCCTCAGACCCTTCTGACTCACCACCCACCTCAGATGAGCTTCCTCCAGGATTTGCCCGGATGCGGGCTGGGGCCAGGCCAGAGGGGAGCTGCCCTGGGGCGGGATCTGGCCCTGGGGGATACTCAGGCTCCAATTTCGCCCAGTGGGGGCTGCTGCTGGTGGCCTGTCCCCAGGCACTGGCTGTGAGCTGCTTGTCCCCGAATGCCTTCCCCTGACTTCACCCTGGGGCTGGGGAGGACTTTGATATGCCAGGCTGGAGGGTGCAGAGGCAGGGTCTTTGGCAGAAGGGCGCCCCTGACTCTGGACCCTGTTTCCTTCCCCTCTTCTCTTGCGCCCAAACTTTGGTGGAGTGTAGGATTTCTGAGGCGGCGGCAGGACACAGGGTGGGGGAATTGAGGTCATGCCCCTCCCCACTGCCCCCCGCCCCCAGGAAGCAGGCAAGTCCGTGGTCCGCCACCCATATTCTGTGGGGCATCCTTGCGAAGGTGTGTCTGGTGTGAGTAAAGGGGTGCAGAGAGTCCCCGCAGGATCATGAGCATTCGATCAGAGCATGTGAAATGCTCCCCCTTGCCAGAGGGGGAGGGGTCAGTGCTGACGAGGGGAGCACTCAGGACTCTCAGGTGGGATCCCATGCTGATACCCTTGGGCAGCTCCCCTAACCTCTCTGTGCCTTGAGCTGAGCTGGAGGTGCCAACGTGGCTTATTGTTTCCAAGTCATTCTGTCATCTGGAGCACAGCTGCCTCCCCCAGGCCCTCACCAAATCCTATCCCCGTGTCTTCTCACACACCCTCCCCAGCCCATCCTCTCTGTCACCTCCGGTGGCCCTGGCAGCCCTGCCCAGCCAGTCTCCTGCCACCTTTTCAGCAGGCACTGGCCATGCCGATACCATTAGGCCCCAGCCTCCTGTGAGGGCAAAGGGCCCTGTCACCACACAGACCAGGGACCCTCTCTGCTCATCTGCCCCTGGCCTCAGTCGTCCACATGGAAACCTCAAATGTGGTTTCTGAGGGTCATAACACAGCAGGGGAGTGTGGTCCAGACCTCTCTTCCCCACCCCCAGTCCTAAACTGGGCACTGCCAGGGAGTGGGCTGGGAGCCAGTGCACTCAGGTCTGTAAGCCTCAGCTGTCCCTATACCCGCCTGTTTGTTCACTGGGGCATTTTTGCTGCAGCCCGAACTGCTGGCATGGTGCCTCCAGTGGGGGGATGGGGAGAAAAGAAGGGGGCCGGGCTCGGGCCTCCTGCCCTCCCCTGTCCTGGCAGAGAGAGGCCCAGCCCCAGCAGGGGCACTGAGCGAGGAGGTGTGGACTCACCCTCCCTCTGGCAGGGGGCAGAGGTGTGATGATCCCTTTTGTCCTTTCTCAAGAAAGCGGCCACTGCCACCACGACCCACATCTCCCAGCTGCGCTTCACTGAAGACTCCACCACCCCCAAGATTAGGAGCGCAGTGTAGACCAGCACTGTCCAGCAGAAAGAGAGTGCCAGCCACAAACAGAGCCACTTGTGTAAATTTTAATTTTCTAGCAGCCACATTTTTTAGGATTAAAATATGTGAAATTAATTTCCATAGTATATTTTATTTAAACCAGTATATCCAAAAATACTAGCGTTCCGAAATATAATCAATATAAAGATGATTAATGAGATGGTTCACATTGTCTTTTTCATACTAAGCCTTTGAAATTCAACATGTATTTTATACTTCCGGCACATCTCCAGGCAGATTCGCTGAATTTTAGCTTGATATCCACATGTCCTGAACAGGACAGGCCTAGAGCAGGGGTTCTGACCCTCAGCGCTACTGCATTTGGAGCCAGATAATCCTCTGTCATGGGGGGCTGTCCTGTGCCTTGTACAGTGTTTAGCGTCAGCCCTGGCTTCCCACCCCTAGATGCCAGGAGCAGCCCCCCTGCCATCGGACACCTGGCAGGAGGACAAAATCACCACCCTTTGAGAGCCACTGGTCTATTAGAAGGAAGCGTCTTCCAGAACGAAGGAGACGGGACTGTGACTGCTCCTGTCGCCGCTGGCATCTGTGGCAGTAAGAGCTAGCGTCAGTATTAATAATAGCAGGGATATTAGTGGGCACTTAGAAACCAGATGCCTTGTCTTGTATCTTCCTCACCACAGACCTTGGGGGTCACGCTGAGATTATCCCATATTGTAGATGAGGAAGCAAGGCTCAGAGAAGTGAGACCAGTGCCCCATGTCACACAGGACTTGGGCCCAGATCTGACTCAGAACCCATGCTTTCTTAATTTTTTTTTAAGATTTTGTTCATTTATTCATGAGAGACGCAGAGAGAGAGGCAGAGACACGGGCAGAGGGAGAAACAGGTTCCCTGCAGGGAGCCCGACCTGGGACTCCATCCCAGGTCTCCAGGATCAGGCCCCAGGCTCAACCACTGAGCCACCCAGGCACCCCAGAGCCCACGCTCTTAGCCTCCACTGTGTGACTTTAAAATTAGCAAGTTGAACAGGGTGACCCCCTCGGCCGGCCTGCGTCTCTTGCACCCTCCATTGCCCACACTCGCTTCCCCCACCCCCTTTCAGCCCCGCACTTCCCACGGAGTCCTTTGGACCCAGGCACAGGTTCCAACTGTAGACCCCACATGATCCCCCCCAGGGTCTCCGACAAGGCCTGGTGGACCCTATGCCCCGTTAGTAAGGGAGTATATTTGGCCTCTTCACCTCCCTAGTGAATGAACAGGTGTCAGCACCCACCCCCCCTTTCCCAAGGGCGTGGGCCGCCTTTCCTGGGATGCACACATGGCTCCCCGTCCTGCAGCCCAAGGGGGACCTCGCCTGCCCCGTTCCTCAGCAGACCGTCTGGTGGGTCTCCTGAGCCGCACTGGCCCCTTGGGGGAGATGCCCCAACCCGGGCACATTCTGAGGGCTAGTTTCCAGTAAACTATGAGTAAATTCACAGAAAAGAGGAAGTCAGGATTTTTTTTTTTTTCTAGAGATTTACTCTGTGACAGTTGTTAAAGGTACTTGCTGTTTCCTTCCCCCAAGCATCTTATCTTAGATCTGGCACATGTAGGCCTTGCCCAATGCCATCTCCCCGACGGTCCCTTTACCTGGCAGCTGCTTCCTCCCTGGGGCTGGCCCAGGTCCCTATCTGATTTAGGCTTGAAGCTGGAGGGGGCGCAGCACGAGTGGCATCTCCCTGCTGGCTTCACCCTTCTTTCTTCCCTTTGGTTTCTCTGCGGAGACACCCCCGGGGCCGGGGCCGGGAGGGACCAGAGGAAGGGCAGCCTTGGAGTCAAGTTACGGGGGCGATCACTCTGTGCCTGACTGTCCCACTGACCCACAAACGGGGCCATGAAGACAGCTTCTCCTGTCCCTCCCTTGGTTTGTGCATCTGCCCAGGGGGGAGTGAGAGGTGTCCCCTTCTGTCTGGTGGAGAAAGGTCAGGATCTCTTTCTTAAAGTCTGCAGGAGCTTCAGGGCACAGATGACCTTCACGGTTGTCTCTTGCCTCTGCACAGCATTCTCCTGGTGACACTTGACCTCAGGATGAGATGGGAGGTGGGAGTGATCCCCCCCCCCCCCCCCGCCCCGGGGATGCCCCGAGGCAGGGGCTGACCAGCCATTTTTCCTGACTGGGTCTCGCCCATCACTTTCTGGCAACAGATGGGAAGAGGGTATCAGGGCAGGAGGAGCGGGCTTAGGAAAATGCTGGGAAAACGGGGAGGAGGACAGATACGTACCCCACCTTGGGGAAGAGCCTGGAGAATCAAAATTCACCATCTAACTCCCTGGACTCCTCTTAAACTTCTTCCCTGTCCCTTGGTTGGTGTGAGTATTTTAGAAAGCATCCTTAGGAGAAAGATGATGGGGGGGGGGGGTCTGTGATCCCGTTAGAAGCATTAGAGAAGTGGGGCGCCGTGGTGTCCCCCTTCCTGGAGAGGGCCAGACCCTGCCTCACCGATCCCATCTCCTGCTGACTACCCTGCACACACTCCATTCTGGCCACATTGTGGATGCTGTTAGCACTTGACCACACCAAGCTCATTCGTGCCACAGGACCTTTGTATGTGCTCATCCCTCTGCCCGGAGTACTATTCCTCAGACTCCTGCAAGCCTGACCTTTCATCCATCAAGGCTTAGCTCAGACGTCAGCTCCTCTGAGCAGCATTCATCACTACCCTCGTTTCGTGGTGCCCTACCTCACGCCCCAGGCACTCTCCACCTCTGTACTATTTTTCCTCCTTGCAGATCTTATTTACTTACTATTTCTACCTCGCGTTTAGTGAACAGTTATTCTGTCCCAGACTGCCTTCCTAACGCCCTCCGTGCTCATCTCACGTGCATTTAATAATTTACATGTGTTTAGACCTCACAACAATTTTATGCCCCCTTATTTGGGGAAACTGAGATAAAGAATGTTTGTCCAAGTTGACACAGCAGGTGAATGGTGACAGTGCTGGGCCCGGGCCCCTGACCACTCTGCCAGGCTGCCTTCTGGGACTTATGTTGGGGGCATGTCCCCCTCCATGCCCGCTGCCCTCCCTGCTCCCATATACCTCCAGCCCTCAAGTCAATGAAGGGCTCCTTCATTGAATGAATGGATGGAGGTGGCCAGTGATGCATGTAGATTGGCCTCTCACTGGGCTGAGCTCTCCACCCCCAGCCTCAAGGGATGAGCA